GAGAACAGTGAGAACAGTGTCAACCGTGACAATCCGTGACACCAGTGACAACAAAGACAACGATTACAAAAGTGACATCACTGACAACAGTGACAATGGTGACAACAGTGACAATGGTGACAATGGTGACAACAGTGACAACCGTGACAACCGTGACAACCGTAACAACAGTGACAATAGTGACAACAGTGAAAAGGGCGACAACAGTGACATTAGTGACAATCCTGAAAACCGTTACAACGGTGACAATGGTAAATGCGATCACAACAGTGACAATGGTGACAACCATCACAACCGCGACAACAGTGACAACAGTGACAACCGTGACAACAGTGACAACAGTGAAAACCGAGACAACAGTGACAAAGGTGACAACAGTGACAACGGTAGCAACGGTGCCAACACTGACAATGGTGAAGCCAGTGACAACAGTCACAACGGTGACAACGGTGAAAACAGTGACAAAAGTGAAAACAATGAGAACAGTGAAAAGAGTTAAACAGGTGAAATAAGTGACAACCGTGACAATGGTGACAACAGTGAAAACAGTGACAACAATTCGTGACAACAGTGACAACGGTTACAACGGTGACAACAGTGACAACGGTGACAACGATGACAACGATGACAACGGTCACAACAGTGACAATCGTGACAACAGTGACAACCGAGACACCTGTGACAACAGTGACAACAGTGACAACGGTGACAACAGTGACAATGGTGACAACATTGACAACCGTGACAACCGTGACAACAGTGACAACGGTGAGAGAAGTGACAACAGCGAAAACAGTGACAACGGTGACAACAGTGACAATAGAGACAACAGTGACAGCGGTGACAACGTTTAGAACAGTGAAAAAAGTGACAGCAATAACAACAGTGACAACGGTTAAACTCGGTGACAACAGTGACGACCGTGACCATGGTGACAACAGTGACAACAGCGAAAACAGCGACAACAGCGACAAAACTGACAACAGTGACAACAGTGACAACGGTGACAACAGTTAAAAGGGTAATAACAGTGACAACGGCGACAACAGTGACAGCTGTGACAACGGTGAAAACAATGAGATTAGTGACAACGGTGACAACTGTGACAACAGTGACAACGGTAAAAACAGTGACAACAGTAAAACAGTGACAACCAGTGACAACAGTGAAATGTACCGTGACAACCGTGACAACCGTGACAACAGTGACAATGGTAACATCAGTCACAACAGTGCCATAGGTGACAACGGTGAGAACCGTGACAACAGTGACAATGGTGACAACGCTGAACACAGTGAGAACAGTGACAACGGTAAAAACAGTGACAACAGAGTCAACCGTGACAATCCGTGACCGTAGTGACAACAAACAAAACGATTACAAAAGTGACATCACTGACAACAGTGACAATGGTAACAACAGTGACAACAGTGACAACCGTGACAAGAGTGACAACTGTGACAAGCGTGACAATAGTAACAACGGTGACAAGGGTGCCAACAGTGGCAAACTGGACAACAGTGAGAAAGGTGACAACAGTGACAGCGGTGACAACGATGACAACGGTGACAACAGTGACAACAGTGACAACGGTTACAACGATGACAACGGTGACAATGATGACAACAGTGACAACCATGACAACCGTGACAACCGTGACAACAGTGACAACGGTGACACCAGTGACAACGGTGACAACAGTGACAACGGTTACAACGATGACAACAGTGACCATGGTGACAACAGTGACAAAAGCGAAAACAGCGACAACAGCGACAACACTGAAAACAGTGACAACAGTGACAACGGTGACAACGGTGACAACAGTGACAACAGTGACAACAGTGAGTAGGGTAATAACAGTGACTACGGTGACAACAGTGATAGCTGTGACAACAGTGAAAACGGTGACATTAGTGACAACGGTGACAACTGTAACAACCATGACAACAGTGACAACGATAAAAACACTGACAACAGCGACAACAGTGAAACCAGTAACAACAGTGACAACGGTGACAACCGTGAAAACAGTGACAATGGTAACATCAGTCACAACAGTGCCATAGGTGACAACAGTGAGAACCGTGACAACAGTGACAACGCTGACAACGCTGAACACGGTGAGAACAGTGAGAACAGTGTCAACCGTGACAATCCGTGACACCAGTGACAACAAAGACAACGATTACAAAAGTGACATCACTGACAACAGTGACAATGGTGACAACAGTGACAATGGTGACAATGGTGACAACAGTGACAACCGTGACAACCGTAACAACAGTGACAATAGTGACAACAGTGAAAAGGGCGACAACAGTGACATTAGTGACAATCGTGAAAACCGTTACAACGGTGACAATGGTTATAAATGCGATCACAACAGTGACAATGGTGACAACCATCACAACCGCGACAACAGTGACAACAGTGACAACCGTGACACCCGTGACAACAGTGACAACAGTGACAACCGAGACAACAGTGACAAAGGTGACAACAGTGACAACGGTAACAACGGTGCCAACACTGACAATGGTGAAGCCAGTGACAACAGTCACAACGGTGACAACGGTGAAAACAGTGACAAAAGTGAAAACAATGAGAACAGTGAAAAGAGTTAAACCGGTGAAATAAGTGACAACCGTGACAATGGTGACCACAGTGAAAACAGTGACAACAATTCGTGACAACAGTGACAACGGTTACAACGGTGACAACAGTGACAACGGTGACAACGATGACAACGATGACAACGGTCACAACAGTGACAATCGTGACAACAGTGACAACCGAGACACCTGTGACAACAGTGACAACAGTGACAACGGTGACAACAGTGACAATGGCGACAACATTGACAACCGTGACAACAGTGACAACGGTGAGAGAAGTGACAACGGTGACAACAGTGACAATAGAGACAACAGTGACAGCGGTGACAACGTTTAGAACAGTGAAAAAAGTGACAGCAATAACAACAGTGACAACGGTTAAACTCGGTGACAACAGTGAGGACCGTGACCATGGTGACAACAGTGACAACAGCGAAAACAGCGACAACAGCGACAAAACTGACAACACTGACAACAGTGACAACGGTGACAACAGTTAAAAGGGTAATAACAGTGACAACGGCGACAACAGTGACAGCTGTGACAACGGTGAAAACAATGAGATTAGTGACAACGGTGACAACTGTGACAACAGTGACAACGGTAAAAACAGTGACAACAGTAAAACCAGTGACAACAGTGACAACTGTGACAACCGTGACAACAGTAACAATGGTAACATCAGTCACAACAGTGCCATAGGTTACAACGGTGAGAACCGTGACAACAGTGACAACGGTGACAACGCTGAACACAGTGAGAACAGTGACAACGGTAAAAACAGTGACAACAGAGTCAACCGTGACAATCCGTGACCGTAGTGACAACAAACAAAACGATTACAAAAGTGACATCACTGACAACAGTGACAATGGTAACAACAGTGACAACAGTGACAACCGTGACAAGAGTGACAACTGTGACAAGCGTGACAATAGTAACAACGGTGACAAGGGTGCCAACAGTGGCAAACTGGACAACAGTGACAAAGGTGACAACAGTGACAAGCGGACAATGACAACGGTGACAACGGTGACAACAGTGACAACGGTGACAACGGTGACAACGGTGACAACGGTGACAATGATGACAATGATGACAACCGACAACAGCGAAAACAGTGAAAACAGTGACAACGGTGACAACAGTGACAGCAGTGAAAACGGCGACAAAGGTACCAAGAGTCTCAACAGTGACAACGGTGACAACAGTGACAACAGTGACAATGGAGACAACTGTGACAACAGTGACAACAGTGACAACGATGACAACAATGACAACACTGACAACAGTGACAACGGTGACAACAGTGACAACGGCGACAACTGTTACAACAGTGACAACAGTGACAACAGTGACAACAGTGACAACGGTGACAACAGTGACAACAGTGACAACGGTGACAACTGTGACAACAGTGAGAACAGTGACAGCAGGGACAAGAGTGACAATGGTGACAACAGTGAAAGAAGTGACAACAATGACAACTGTGACAACAGTGACAACTGTGACAACAGTGACAAAAGGGACAACAGTGACAATAGTGACAAAAGTGACAACGGTGACAATGGTGACAACAGTGACAACAGTGACAACAGTGACAACAGTGACAACAGTGACAACGGTGAAAACAGTGACAACAGTGACAACAGTGATAAGAGTGAAAAAAGTGACAATGGTGACAGCAGTGACAACAATGACAACGGTGACAACGGTGATAACAGTGACAAAACCGACAACAGCGACAACGGTGACAACACTGACAACGGTAACAACAGTGACAACAGTGACAACGGTGACAACAGTGAGAACCATGACAACAGGGACAACAGTGAAATTGGTTACAACAGTGAAAAGAGTCACAACGGTGACATCGGTGACAAAAGTGACAACAGTGACAACAGTGACAAAAGTGACAACAGTGACAACAGCGACAACAGTGACAACAGTGACAACACAGTGACAACAGTGACAACGGTGACAACAGTGACAACAGTGACAACAGTGACAACGGTGACAACAGTGACAACAGTGAAAACAGTGACAACAGTGACAACGGTGACAACTGTGACAACAGTGACAACAGTGACAACAGTGACAACAGTGACAACAGTGACAAAGGTGACAACTGTGACAACAGTGACAACAGTGACAACAGTGACAACAGTGACAACAGTGACAACGGTGACAACAGTGACAACAGTGACAACAGTGACAACGGTGACAACGATGACAACAGTGACAACGGTGACAACAGTGACAACGGTGACAACAGTGACAACGGTGACAACGGTGACAACAGTGACAACAGTGACAACAGTGACAACAGTGACAACCGTGACAACAGTGACAACAGTGACAACAGTGACAACAGTGACAACGGTGACAACAGTGACAACAGTGACAACAGTGACAACAGTGACAACAGTGACAACGGTGACAACGGTGACAACAGTGACAACAGTGACAACAACGTGACAACGGTGACACAACAGTGACAACAGTGACAACAGTGACAACAGTGACAACGGTGACAACGATGACAACAGTGACAACGACAACAGTGACAACAGTGACAACGGTGACAACAGTGACAACGGTGACAACGGTGACAACAGTGACAACAGTGACAACAGTGACAACAGTGACAACAGTGACAACAGTGACAACAGTGACAACGGTGACAACAGTGACAACAGTGACAACAGTGACAACAGTGACAACGGTGACAACGGTGACAACGGTGACAACAGTGACAACGGTGACAACGGTGACAACAGTGACAACGGTGACAACAGTGACAACGGTGACAACAGTGACAACAGTGACAACGGTGACAACAGTGACAACAGTGACAACAGTGACAACAGTGACAACAGTGACAACAGTGACAACAGTGACAACAGTGACAACAGTGACAACGGTGACAACAGTGAAAAGAGTGACAACGGTGACAACAGTGACAACAGTGACAACGGTGACAACAGTGACAACAGTGACAACAGTGACAACGGTGACAACAGTGACAACAACAGTGACAACGGTGACAACGGTGACAACAGTGACAACAGTGACAACAGTGACAATGGTGACAACAGTGACAACCGTGACAACTGTGACAACCGTGACAACAGTGACAACGGTGATAACAGTGACAAGCGTGACAACTGTGACAATCGTGACAACTGTGACAACGGTGAAAACAGTGACAACGGTGACAACGATGACAACAGTGATAACGGTGACAACAGTGAGAATGGTGACAACAGTGACAAGCGTGAAAACTGTGACAACAGTGACAACGGTGACAACATTGACAACAGTGACAACAGTGACAACAGTAAAAACAGTGAAAATGGTGACAACAGTGACAACAGTGACAACGGTGACAACTGTGACAACAATGACAGAACTGACAACTGTGACAATAGTGACAACAGTGACAACAATGACAACAGTGACAACGGTGACAACTGTGACAAAAGTGACAAAAGTAACAACATCAGTGACAACCGTGACAAACAACATTGACAATAGTGACAACGGTGACAAGGTGACAACAGTGACAACCTGGACAACAGTGACAACAGTGACAACAGTGACAACAGTGACAACGGTGACAACAATGACAACAGTGACAACGATGACAACAGTGACAATGGTGACAACAGTGACAAGCGTGACAACTGTGACAACCGTGACAACAGTGACAACGGTGACAACAGTGACAACAGTGACAACACTGACAATGGTGACAACAGTGACAACGGTGACAAGGGTGACAACAGTGACAACCGTGACAACAGTGACAATAGTGACAACGGTGAGAACGGTGACAACGGTGACAACAGTGACAACGATAACAACAGTGACAACAGTGACAACCGTGAAAACAGTGACAACACTGACAATGGTGACAACCGTGACAACCGTGACAACGGTGACAACAGTGACAACGGTGACAACAGTGACAATGGTGACAATGGTGACAACAGTGACAACCGTGACAACGGTGACAACAGTGACAACGGTGACAACCGTGACAGCAGTGACAACAGTGACAATCGTGACAACAGTGACAACAACGGTGACAACAGTGACAATGGTGAAAACAGTGACAACAGTGACAACAGTGACAACAGTGACAACGGTGAACAAACAACCTGACAACGGTGACAACAGTGACAACCGTGACAAGCGTGCCAACATTGAAGATAGTTACAACGGGACAAGGGCGACAACAGTGACAACCGTGACAACCGTGAGAACAGTGACAATGGTGACAAGGGTGACAACCATCACAACAGTGAGAACGCTGACAACGGTGACAACCGTGACAACAGTGATAACGGTGACAATGGTGACAACGGTGTCAACAGTGACAGTAGTGACAACGCTTACAACGGTGACAACAGTGACAACGGTGACAACCATGACAACAGTAACAACGGTGACAACAGTGACAACGGTGTCAACAGTAACAGCGGTGACAACACTTACAACTGTGACAGCAGTGACATCCGTGACAACAGTGACAACCGTGACAAGCGTGACAACATTGAAGATAGTGACAACGGTGACAAGGACGACAACAGTGACAACCGTGACAACAGTGATAACGGTGACACCGGTGACAACGTTGTCAACAGTGACAGCAGTGACAACAGTCACAACCGTGACAACAGTGACAACCGTGACAACAGTGACAACAGTGACAACCTTGTCAACAGTAAAAAGGGTAATAACAGTGACAACGATGACAACAGTAACAGCTGTGACAATGGTGAAAACGGTGACATTAGTGACAACTGTGACAACCATGAAAACAGTGACAACGGAAAAAGCAGTAACAACAGTGACAACACTGACAATGGTCACAACCGTGACAACAGTGACAATGGTAACAACAGTCACAACAGTGCCATAGGTGACAACGGTGAGAACCGTTACAACAGTGACAACGGTGACAACGCTGAACACAGTGAGAACCGTGACAATGGTGAAAACGATGACAACAGTGACAACCGTGACAATCTGTGAAACCAGTGACAACAAAGACAATGATTACAAAAGAGTGAGAACAGTGACAACGGTGACAAGGGTGGCAACCATGACAACAGTGACAACACTGACAACGGTGACAACTGTGACAACCGTCACAATAGTGATAACGGTGACAATGGTGTCAACAGTGACAGCAGTGACAACACTGAAAACAATGACAACAGTGACAACGGTGACAACCGTGACAAGCGTGACAACATTGACAATAGTGACAACGGTGACAAGGGCGACAACAGTGACAACCTGGACAACAGTGACAAAGGTGACAACACTGACAGCGGTGACAACGGTGACACCAGTGACAGCGGTTACATAGATGACAACAGTGACAATGATGACAACAGTGACAATGGTCACAACAGTGTCAACCGTGACAACCGTGACAACGGTAACAACAGTGACAATGGTGACAACAGTGACAACGGTGACAATAGTGACAACGGTGACAAGGGTGACAACAGTGACAACCGTGACAACAGTGACAACACTGACAATGGTGACAACCGTGACAACGGTGACAACAGTGACAGCGGTGAGAATGGTCACAATGTTGACAATAGTGACAAGTGACAATAGTGACAACAGTGACAACAGTGACAATGGTGACAACGCTGACAATGGTGACAATGGTGACAACAGTGACAACCGTGGCAACCGTGACAACAGTGACAATAGTGACAACAGTGAAAAGGGTGACAACAGTGACATTAGTGATAACCGTGAAAACCGTTACAACGGTGACAACGGTGACAATGGTAAATGCGATCACAAAAGTCACAATGGTGACAACCGTCACAACCGTCACAACCGCGACAACAGTGACAACCGTGACACCCGTGACAACAGTGACAACGGAGACAACAGTGACAAAGGTGACAACAGTGACAGCGGTGACAACAGTGACAACGGTAACAACGGTGCCAACACTGACAATGGTGAAGCCAGTGACAACAGTCACAACAGTGACAAAGGTGAAAACAGTGAGAAAAGTGAAAACAATGAGAACAGTGAAAAGAGTTAAACCGGTGACATAAGTGACAACGGTGACAAAAGTGACAACGGTGACAACGGTGACAACAGTGACGACAGTGACAACAGTCAGAACAGTGACAACGGTGACAACAGTCAGAACGGTGACAACCGTGAGAACAGCAGTGACAACGGCGACAACAGTGACAACGGTGACAACAGCGACAACGGTGACAACAGTGACAACTGTGACAATAGTGAGAAGGGTGACAACGGTGACAATGGTGACTACAGTGAGAATAATGACAACAGTGACACTGGTGACAGCAGTGACAGCTGTTACAGTGGTGAAAACAATGACATTATTGGCAATGGTGACAACAGTGACATCAGTGACAATGGTGATGACAGTGACAACCGTGACAACAGTGACAACGGGAAAAACAGTGACAATGGTGACAACGGTGACAACGGTGACAACAGTGACAACGGTGACAACGGTGACAACAGTGACAACAGTGACAACGGCGACAACATTCACAGCTGTGACAATGGTGAAAAACGGTGACATTAGTGACAACGGTGACAACAGGGACAACAGTGAGAACGGTAAAAACAGTGACAACAGTAACAACGGTGACAACAGTGACAATGGTGACAACAGTGATAACGGTGACAACAGTGACAACAGTGACAACCGCGACAACAGTGACAACAGTGACAATGGTAACAACAGTGACAACGGTGACAACAGTGACAACATTGACAACGCTGACAACAGTGACAACAGTGACAACAGTGAGAACCGTGACAACAGTGTCAACAGTGACAATGATAACAACAGTGACAACCGTGACAAGGGTGACAACTGTGACAACCGTGACAACCATGACAACAGTGAGTACCGTGACAACCGTGACAACACTGACAACACTGACAATGGTGACAACCGTGACAATGGTGACAACAATGACAACGGTGACAACGGTGACAACAGTGACAACATTGACAATGGTGACAACCGTGACAACGGTGACAAGGGTGACAACGGTGACAGCAGTGACAACAGTGACAATGGTGACAACAGTAAACACTGTGACAACCGTGACAACAGTGACAATAGTGACAATGGTGACAAAGGCGACAACAGTGACAGCGGTGACAACGGTGACAACAGTGACAATGGTGACAACAGTGACAACAGTGACAACGCTGAGAACAGTGACAACGGTGAAAACAGTGACAAGGGTAATAACAGTGACAACGGTGACAACAGTGACAGCGGTGACAATGGTAAAAACGGTGACATTAGTGACAACGGTGACAACTGTAACAACCATGACAACAGTGACAACAGTGACAACAATGGCAACGGTGACAATCCGTGACAACAGTGACAACAGTGACAACGGTTACAAAAGTGACATCACTGACAACAGTGACAACCGTTACAACCGTGACAACAGTGACAATAGTGAGAACAGTGACAACGGTGACTAGGGTGAAACCATGACAACACTGACAACCGTGACAACCGTGACAACAGTAACAACGGTGACAACAGTGACAACGGTGTCAACAGTAACAGCAGTGACAACACTTACAACGGTGACAACAGTGACATCCGTGACAACAGTGACAACCGTGACAAGCGTGACAACATTGAAGATAGTGACAACGGTGACAAGGGCGACAACAGTGACAACCGTGACAACCGTGACAACAGTGACAACAGTGACAATAGTGAGAACAGTGACAACGGTGACAACCGTGACAACAGTAACAACGGTGACAACAGTGACAACGGTGACAACAGTGACAACAGTGACAACAGTGACAACGGTGATAACGGTGACAACCGTGACTGACAACAGTCACAATGGTGACAACAGGGACAACCGTGACGAAAGTGACAACAGTGAAAACGGTTAAACCGGTGACAACCGTGACAATGGTGACAACAGTGACAACGGTGACAACACTGACATCCGTGACAACAGTGACAAATGAACGGTGACAACAGTGACAACAACAGTGAAGATAGTGACAACAGTGACAACCGTGACAGGCGTGACAACATTGAAGATAGTGACAACGGTGACAAGGGCGACAACAGTGACAACCGTGACAACAGTGACAATGGTGAGAACAGTGACAACGGTGACAACCATGACAACAGTGAGAACACTGACAACGGTGACAACCGTGACAACAGTGATAACGGTGACAATGGTGACAACGGTGTCAACAGTGACAGTAGTGACAACACTTACAACGGTGACAACAGTGACAACCGTGACAAGCGTGACAGCTTTGACAATAGTGACAACGGTGACAAGGGCGACAAGAGTGACAACCGTGACAACAGTGACAAAGGTGACAACAGTGACAACAGTGACAACGGTGACAACGGTGACAACAGTGACAACGGTGACAACAGTGACAGCGGTGACAACGGTGACAACGGTGACAATGGTGACAACAGTGACAAGCGTGACAACAGTGACAACGGTAACAACAGTGACAATGGTGACAACAGTGACAACCAAGACAGCCGTGACAACAGGAACAACAGTGACAACAGTGACAACGGTGACAATAGTGACAATGGTGACAGGGGTGACAACAGTGACAACATTGACAACGGTGACAACAGTGACAATGGTGACAACAGTGACAACAGTGACAACGGTGACAACAGTGACAAGGGTAATAACAGTGACAACGGTGACAACAGTGACAATGGTGACAACAGTGACAACGGTGACAACAGTGACAACGTGACAACAGTGACAACGGTGACAACAGTGACAACAGTGACAAACAGTGACAACGGTGACAACGGTGACAACGGTGACAACAGTGACAACGGTGACAACAGTGACAACAGTGACAACAGTGACAACGGTGACAACAGTGACAACAGTGACAACAGTGACAACAGTGACAACGGTGACAACAGTGACAACGGTGACAACAGTGACAACGGTGACAACAGTGACAATGGTGACAACAGTGACAATGGTGACAACAGTGACAACAGTGACAGCGGTGACAATGGTAAAAACGGTGACATTAGTGACAACGGTGACCACTGTAACAACCATGACAACATTGACAACGGTAAAAACAGTGACAACAATGGCAACGGTGACAATCTATAACAACAGTGACACCAGTGACAAAGGTGACAAAAGTGACAGCGGTGACAACGATGACAACGGTGACAACGGTGACAACGGTTACAACGATGACAACGGTGACAACCTGATGACAACAGTGACAACAGTGACAACCGTGACAAGCGTGACAACCGTGACAACAGTGACAACGGTGACAACAGTGACAATGGTGACAACAGTGACAACGGTGACAACCGTGACAACTGTGACAACAGTGACAACGGTGACAATAGTGAAAACGGTCACAAGGGTGACAACAGTGACAACACTGACAATGTGACAACCGTGACAACCATGACAACAGTGAGTACCGTGACAACCGTGACAACACTGACAACACTGACAATGGTGACAACCGTGACAATGGTGACAACGGTGACAACAGTGACAACGGTGACAATGGTGACAACCGTGACAACCGTGACAACGGTGACAACCGTGACAACTGTGACAACAGTGACAACGGTGAAAACAGTGACAATGGTGACAACAGTGACAACGGTGACAACCGTGACAACTGTGACAACAGTGACAACGGTGACAACCGTGACAACTGTGACAACAGTGACAACGGTGACAACCGTGACAACTGTGACAACAGTGACAACGGTGACAATAGTGACAACGGTCACAAGGGTGACAACAGTGACAACACTGACAATGTGACAACCGTGACAACCGTGACAACAGTGAATGCTGTGACAACACTGACAATGGTGACAACCGTTACAACGGTGACAACGGTGACAACAGTGACAACGGTGACAACGGTGACAACCGTGACAACCGTGACAACGGTGACAACGGTGACAACCGTGACAATGGTGACAACAGTAAACACTGTGACAACCGTGACAACAGTGACAACAGTGACAACGGTGACAACAGTGACAACAGTGACAACGGTGACAACAGTGACAACGGTGACAACAGTGACAACGGTGACAACGGTGACAACAGTGACAACAGTGACAACAGTGACAACGGTGACAACAGTGACAACGGTGACAACAGTGACAACGGTGACAACAGTAACAACAGTGACAACAGTGACAACGGTGACAACAGTGACAACAGTGACAACAGTGAAAACAGTGACAACAGTGACAACGGTGACAACAGTGACAACAGTGACAACAGTGACAACAGTGACAACACAGTGACAACAGTGACAACAGTGACAACGGGTGACAACCGTGACAACAGTGACTACAGTGACAACCGTGACAACAGTGACAACACTGGCAATGGTGACAACCGTGACAACGGTGACAACAGTGACAACGGTGACAACCGTGACAACGGTGACAACCGTGACAATGGTGACAACAGTGACAATAGTGACAATGGTGACAAAGGCAACAACAGTGACAGCAGTGATAACGGTGACAATGGTGACAACAGTGACAATGGTGACAACAGTGACAACAGTGAGAACAGTGACAACGGTGAAAACAGTGACAAGGGTAATAACAGTGACAACGGTGACAACAGTGACAGCGGTGACAATGGTAAAAACGGTGACATTAGTGACAACGGTGACAACTGTAACAACCATGACACTAGTGACAACGGTAAAAACAGTGACAACAGTGACAACAATGGCAACGGTGACAATCCCTGACAACAGTGACAACGGTTACAACAGTGACAATGGTAACCACAGTGACAACCGTTACAACCGTGACAACAGTGACAACAGTGACAATAGTTAGAACAGTGACTACGGTGAGAAGGGTGACAACCATGACAACAGTGACAACGCTGACAACTGTGACAACCGTGACAACAGTAACAACGGTGACAACAGTAACAACGGTGTCAACAGTAACAGCAGTGACAACACTTACAACGGTGACAACAGTGACAACAGTGACAACAGCGACAAAAGTGACAACAGTGACAACATACTCACAACAGTGATAACGGTGACAAGAGTGACAACACTGACAACAGTGACAACAGTGACAACAGTGACAACAGTGACAACAGTGACAACAGTGACAATGGTGACAACAGTGACAACGGTGACAACAGTGACAACAGTGACAACAGTGACAACAGTGACAACAGTGACAACGGTGACAACAGTGACAACAGTGACAACAGTGACAACAGTGACAACGGTGACAACAGTGACAATGGTGACAACAGTGACAACCGTGACAATAGTGACAACAGTGACAATGGTGACAACAGTGACAACGGTGACAACAGTGACAACCGTGACAACAGTGACAACAGTGAATACAGTGACAAAGGTGACACAAGTGACAACAGTGACAACGGTGACAACAGTGACAACCCCATGACAACAGTGACAACGGGTGACAATGGTGACAACGGTGACAACAGTGACAAGTGACAACAGTGACAAGAGTGACAACGGTAACAACAGTGACAAGAGTGACAACCATGACAACAGTGACAACGATGACAACAGTGACAACCGCGTCAACGGTGACACTACTGAGAACAGTGACAACGGTTAAAACAGTGACAACAGTGACAGCGGTGACAACAGTGACAACGGTGACAACAGTGAAGCAAGTGACAGCGCTCACAAAAGGGAAAACAGTGACAACCGTTACAACAGTGACAACAGTGGCAACCGTGACAACAGTGACAACTGTGACAGCAGTGAAAACAGTGACAACAGTGACAACAGTGACAAAAGTGACAACAGTGACAACCTTGTCAACAGTGACAAAAGTGAAAACAGTGACAACAGTGACAAGAGTAACAACGGTGACAACAGTGAAAACAGGTGACAACAGTGACAACTGTGACAACAGTGAAAAAAACAACAACGACAAAAGTGAGCAACAACAGTGACAACAGTGACAACGGTGACAACAGTGACAATGGTGACAACAGTGAAAATGGTGACAACAGTGACAACAGTGACAACAGTGACAACAGTGAGAACAGTGACAACGGTGACAACAGTGACAATGGGACAACCCGACAACAGTGACAACAGTGAGAAACAGTGACAATGGTGAAAAACAGTGACAACAGTGACAACAGTGACAACGGGTGAAAACAGTGACAACAAAGACAACAGTGACAAAAGTGACAAAACAGTGACAACCGTGAGAACAGTGACAACAGTTACAACAGCGATAACAGCGACAAGAGTGACAACAATGACAACAGTGACAACAGTGACAATAGTGACAACGGTGACAATGGTGGCAACTGTCACAACAGTGACATTAGTGACAACCGTGACAACAGCGACAACGGGGAAAACGGTGACAATAGTGCAACAGTGACAACGGTGACAATGGTGACAACAGTGACAACAGTGACAACAGTGACAACCTGACAACAGTGACAACAGACAACACAGTGACAACGGTGACAACGGTGACAACAGTGACAACAGTGACAAAGATGACAACAGTGACAACAGTGACAACAGTGACAATGGTGACAACAGTGACAACAGTGACAACCGTGACAACGGTAACAACAGTGACAATGGTGACAACAGTGACAACGGGTGACAACAGTGACAACAGTGACAAGGGTGACAACAGTGACAACCGTGACAACAGTGACAACACAACAGACAATGGTGACAACAGTGACAACAGTGACAACAGTGACAACAGTGACAACAGTGACAACGGTGAGAATGGTGACAATGTTGACAACAGTGACAACAGTGACAACAGTGACAACAGTGCCAACAGTGACAACAGTGACAACGGTGACAACAGTGACAATGGTGACAACTGTGACAACTGTGACAACGGTCACAACAGTGACAACAGTGACAACAGTGACAAAGGAACAACAGTGACAACAGTGACAACGGTGACAACAGATAATAGTGACGGTGACAATGGTTAACACAACAGTGACAACGGACACAACAGTGACAACAGTGACAACGGTGACTACAGTGACAACAGTGACAACAGTGAAAACAGTGACAACGGTGACAACAGTGACAACAGGTGACAACAGTGACGACAGTGACAACATTAAAAAGAGTGACAACAGCAACAACAGTGACAAAGGTGAGATCAGTGACAGCAGTGACAACGGTGACAAAGGTGAAAACAGTGAGAAAAGTGACAACAGTGAGAATGGTGAAAAGAATGAAACAGGTGACAACAGTGACAATGGTGACAAAAGTGACAACGGTGACAACGGTGACAACAGTGACAACAGTGCTGATAATGAACAACAGTGACAAAAAGTTTAACAGTGACAACGGTGACAACAGTGACAACGGTGACAACAGTGACAACGGTGACAACAGTGACAACAGTGACAACAGTGACAACGGTGACAACAGTGACAAGGGTAATAACAGTGACAACGGTGACAACAGTGACAAGGGTAATAACAGTGACAACGGTGACAACAGTGACAACAGTTACAGCTCTTACAACGGTGAAAACGGTGACATTATTGACAACGGTGACAACCGTGACAACCCTGACAACAGTGACAACGGTAAAAACAATGACAACGGTGACAACGGTGACAACAGTGACAACGGTTACAAAAGTCACATCACCGACAACAGTGACAATGGTAACAACAGTCGTGACAAGAGTGACAACCGTGACAAGCGTGACAACATTGACAATAGTGACAACGGTGACAAGGGCGCCAACAGTGACAAACTGGACAACAATGACAAAGGTGACAAAACTGACAGCGGTGACAACGATGACAACGGTGACAACAGTGACAAGGGTGACAACGGTGACAACGGTTACAACAGTGACAACAGTGACAATGGTGACAACAGTAAAAACTGTGACAACCGTGACAACAGTGACAATAGTGACAATGGTGACAAAAGCGACAACAGTGACAGCGGTTACATAGATGACAACAGTGACAATGATGACAACAGTGACAATGGTCACAACAGTGTCAACCGTGACAACCGTGACAACGGTAACAACAGTGACAATGGTGACAACAGTGACAACGGTGACAATAGTGACAACGGTGACAAGGGTTACAACAGTGACAACCGTGACAACAGTGACAACACTGGCAATGGTGACAACCGTGACAACGATGACAACAGTGACAACGGTGAGAATGGTCACAATGTTGACAATAGTGACAACAGTGACAACTGTGACAACAGTGACAACAGTGACAATGGTGACAACGGTGACAATGGTGACAATGGTGACAACAGTGACAACCGTGACAAGCGTGACAACAGTGACAATAGTGACAACAGTGAAAAGGGCGACAACAGTGACATTAGTGACAACCGTGAAAACCGTTACAACGGTGACAACGGTGACAATGGTAAATGCGATCACAACAGTCACAATGCTGACAACCGTCACAACCGCGACAACAGTGACAACCGTGACACCCGTGACAACAGTGACAACAATGACAACGGAGACAACAGTGAAAAAGGTGACAACTGTGACAGCGGTGACAACAGTGACAACAGTGACAACGGTGCCAACACTGACAATGGTGAAGCCAGTGACAACTGAGTCACAACGGTGACAAAGGTGAAAACAGTGAGAAAAGTGAAAACAATGAGAACAGTGAAAAGAGTTAAACCGGTGACATAAGTGACAACGGTGACAAAAGTGACATGCAACGGTGACAACGGTGACAACAGTGACAACCGTGACGACAGTGACAAAAGTCAGAACAGTGACAACGGTGACAACAGTCAGAACGGTGACAACTGTGACAATGGTGACAGCAGTGACAACGGCGACAACAGTGACAACGGTGACAACAGTGACAACGTTGACAACAGTGACAACGGTGACAATAGTGAGAAGGGTGACAACGGTGACTACAGTGAGAATAATGACAACAGTGACACTGGTGACAGCAGTGACA